AGTCTGACCAGTTTCGTACTGAGCACCCTACTGTCACGCGTCTGCTAGCCACTGTTGTCACTGACCCGTCGTTTGAGTCCACTGCTGCGTCTGCCCTACTCGCTGAGCTTGTCGACTTTGCTGCTGCCTGTCGTCTAGACTACGCTGCTAGTCTTGTTGCTGAGTCTGAGTCTGTCTGTCCTCCGTCCGTCGGGGGTGAGTGTGCTCTTAGCACGGACGTCCTTGAGGAAAGGCACGAGGACCTTGAGTGTCTTGCGGCCGCTGCGCCTCATCTTGTGGCCATGCTGCTTGCCCCTGAGGGAGACCCGGATGCACCAGACATCCCCACCCCGCGCTCATACGCTGAGGCAATCGCGGGTGAGTAATCCTCTCAGTGGCAGACAGCAATGGACGCAGAGATGGCATCCTGGAAGTTCACAGGCACGTATGTCAACGACGTTCCCCCTCCTGGGGCGAACATCGTCAGTGGCATGTGGATCTTCAGGGTAAAGCGGCCGCCAGGTTCTCCGCCTGTCTTCAAGGCTCGTTACGTTGCTCGAGGTTTCAGTCAGCGAGATGGAGTTGAATTCTTCCAGACTTTCTCCCCCACCCCGAAGATGACCACTCTGCGGGTGCTGCTGCACGTTGCCGCTCAGCGTGACTACGAGCTTCACTCTCTTGACTTCAGCACAGCTTTCTTGCAGGGCAGCCTGCACGAGGAGATCTGGCTGCGCCGCCCACCCGGCTTCACTGGGTCGTTCCCCCCTGGTACCCAGTGGAGCCTCCGGCAGCCGGTCTATGGTCTCCGCCAGGCGCCACGTGAGTGGCACGACACACTGAGGACGACACTTGCGGCTCTTGGGTTTGCTCCTTCGACTGCTGACCCGTCGCTGTTTCTGCGCACCGACACTTCGCTGCCGCCGTTCTACATCCTCGTGTACGTCGACGACTTGGTCTTTGCCACTGCTGACACTGAGGCTCTCGCCCTGGTGAAGTCGGAGCTGCAGAAGAGACCCACGTGCACAGACCTGGGTGAGCTGCGCAGCTACCTTGGCTTGCAGATCACCCGGGACAGAGCACGCCGCACCATCACACTGACTCAGTCACACATGGTGCAGCAGGTCCTTCAGCGCTTCGGCTTCACCTGGTCCTCAGCACAGCACACTCCTCTGGCTACAGGTCACTTGCTCTCAGCTCCACCTTCGGACGAGTCCGTAGAGCCGAGTGGTCCTTACCCAGAGCTAGTGGGCTGCCTCATGTACCTGATGACCTGCACTCGTCCTGACCTTGCGTACCCTCTTGGCCTTCTGGCTTGCTACGTGGCTCCTGGTCGGCACCGAAAGGTGCACATGGATGCTGCTAAGAGGGTACTGCGCTACTTGTGCAGTACATCGGGCTTGGGGCTCGTGCTTGGAGGGCGGAGTCCAGTTGTCCTCACTGGGCACTCAGACGCTTCTTGGGTTGACGACCAGGCTAAACAGCGGTCGTCACAGGGTTACACGTTCAGCCTTGGCTCCGGCTCTGTTTCTTGGCGGTCTACACGCTCGTCTTCTGTTCTCAGCTCCAGTTGTGAGGCTGAGATCTACGCTGCTGCCATGGCTGCACAAGAGTTACGCTGGCTCACCTACCTGCTGACCGACCTAGGAGAGCCGCCTCGTTCTCCTCCAGTTCTGTACGTAGACAACAAGGCCGCCATTGCCTTGTGTCAGGAGCACAGACTGGAGCACAGAACGAAGCACATCGCTCTGCGTTACTTCCTGGCTCGAGAGTTGCAGCAGCGGGGTCAGCTTCGCCTTGCTTACGTGGCCACTCGGGCCAACACTGCTGATATATTCACCAAGGCACTTCCGTCTGGTGACCATCAGCGCTTTTGTACTTTGTTGGGCCTTGTGTCTACGTTTCCACACTTGCTGTAGTCTCTGCTTGTACTGTGATCTATATATGTACCTGCATGCATGCTCTTTCTAGCTTGAGATCACTGTTCTGTTCTTGTTGCTTATATACCTCTGCATGTGGACTGGCCTTGTGGCCGTTGCTTGCTCTGGCTATCCCCCATTTCGCCTATGGGGGTGTGTCAAAGATATGCATATCATTATCTAGGCTATATTGGGGATAGCCTTAGGGGGTACACAAAACTTTCTCGATACCCTAGTCTGTACCCAACCCTTCACTTAATCAACTAACTCTTGCCTTAGTTCTTAACAAACCATCCTCGTCCCCACCAACGTTGGCTACTGGCGCTACGAAGCCTGGTGGGACATTCTAGAGCCAAGGCAGAAGCGACAGGTACTTCGTGGCCTCATTCTCAAGGGGTGTTACACTGCACAGCAGCTCCTGAATGCTGCTCCGGGCACCCTCTTTCCGACTATTAACCAGAACATGCCGGTGAACAAGACTACTGAGCCGAATTGAGTGTATTTCCAGTCGGTCTGACGAGAAGCACGACGTTGCTGAGCGTGCCGAATGCGGGGGTGACGAGAAATTTCGTTGCGCATAGAGTGACATTGGTCCTCCCGCCGCCCAACCACAAGTGCTTCTGGGCTTCTTGCAGTGACGATATGGTTCCAGCAACTCCCACTGGTAGTCCTAGACCATAAACCAGGGTTTGGGAGGAGGGATGGAGTGATGCTGGGTCAGGGCTGACGTTTCAAAAAACGCCTCCCTGTTTTTGACCCGCAATTTTTTTTTCTACTCTGACGGCACTTCGGCCGCAAAATGGCCACTCTGAGCGTGTTAAAAGAAATCAGGGTTGAAAAAAACACAACTCTGGTCCTTCAGTGTTGGGGAAATGACTTCAGAGTCGCAGTTTTTTTTTTTTTTTTTTTTTTTTTTTTTTTTTTTTTCCTTCTGGTTTGTCGGTGAGCTTCAAGGGCGAGAAGGACTGTTGCAACATTGGCTCGATTTGGCGCAACTTTGCAAGTGCCAACTGGGCGACCTGCCACGCAGCTGAGCTGGCACAAAACACAAACCACCACTTGGCGCGCGAGAATCTGCATCACTATTGGGCTTCTTTTTCTAGCCCGCTTCAACGGTTAACCCACTGTGGGACACAATTCAACCTGCGTGATACTGCCACAGATAGAGTGTATTCAGATATCGCAGCAGGTGCTGTGTGCTTTGCTCACGTGTTGGCATTCGCTGCCACCTCGGAGGTGGGTGTATCGAAAGGAAATTTCGAGGAAGCTTCCTCCCGATAAACTCGCATGCAGGGACCACAAAACACATACTCTGTAGTGACAGACTCCAGAAATGACTAACACTTAGGCCTAGTACACTGAATCAGGGGCCATAAAACAATAACTCTGAGGCTCTCAGTGATGAAAATTTGACTACTCTGGAATTCCATTTTTCACAAACTCGATGGTCTGATCCGTCAGACTAATCAGACTATTTACTCTGATAGCGTCAGCCCTGTTCTGGGTGGAAGTTGGAACGGCCGTAAAATGGTCCGCTGCGTGAGTAAAAAGAGGGACTACATTTATAGCTCTCCAATGTTGCAAGAGTGGCTTTGGCATTTGAAAGGGCTTGATTATGGTCAAATGCATATGATGTTTTACCACAACCAAACCTTGTGGTAGTCATACTAATTTCACTCTTCAACGTTGTAAGATACGGTCCAAAATGTTTGATGGCCTCTACAAGAGCAGTTTTCCACACCCTCCACGCGGATTGTACTTGTACAAGGAATGAATGCCACAGATTCGGGCGAACACCTCAGTAACGAGATTGCACCAATCGGGAAGCTGGCCGCGCAGTGAGCAACCAATCTCATCACATGCCACACCTTCCCAAACGAGATGGATAGCCAATCACTGTGAAGTAAAAGAATTACCACGTTGTCGCACACGCAACACAAATCGCTTCTCCAGCTTCGTTCGGGGTCGCACGGGTCACACTCCATCAGACGCTTGAGAACTCCGTCAGCTCATTGTTTCGGTCTTGTTCTGAATCGGATTTACTTATGAAAGCGTCAAACGTGGTAGACTTTCAGATCCTTTTATTTATCATCGAGGACAATTATTTGGCAGTGAAGTTCATTTTGAGGGGGAGTGTTGAGTACGACCACGGCTGAGAAGCGATTGTTCTGGAGACGAAACGGATGCGGCGAACGCGGACTGGCACACCTGATTGTGTCCAATGAGCCTGTCCCACATTCTTTCAGGCTAGCATCCCTGGAGGTCAGCTTACCCAACACTGCTCAAGTCTTTAGCGCTGTCCATTCGCCTCTCCGCGTTTGACGGTATGGTCAAGCGCTAAAGCGTCTGCTACTATAGTCTTCCCGTGAATGTTCGTACCTTCCTCATACTCCTTGAAGCCTCCCACTGATTCCCATGCCGTTTCATGAAGCGGTCTTCACAGCTTCATACCCGTTAGAGGCAGAAGCGTGAAGGGGTCGCGTTAAAGTGAAAAACATTAGGGAAAGGTCAGGTTACAGTCCTGCACGGCTCCGTTTGTCTTCTTTTATGGAGTCTTTTAACCATGCCACTACTGCCTCTGGTCTTTTAGTGACAAATCCTTACAGTAAGGTCGTCCCCTCTAGTTCCTCCAATCCCTGTGGTCTCTCTAATCCAACATCTACTTCATTCTCAAGTTCGTTAAATAGTACTTGCACTACGACCTCCTCTGGACCTCGTTCCTCGTCTCCTCGTGCCTTTTCCGACATCCGAATCTCGCCGCGCCAATCCGCCGCTCGTCATCACTCGACTTCTCCTTATCGCGGACAGAGTGTAGTAGCTGCTAATACTACAGCTAGAACCAGCGACACCATAGCGGGTTTCAGATTTGTCACGTCCGGCTCAGGACGGCCGCAATTGACTGTCAGTAACCCCTCTCCTGACAGCACATTTCGCGCATCGCGTCAGTATACATTACGAGAATCTACAGTCCGCGAATCTACAGCTCGCAAATGCGAATCCGTAGCGGGTTGGAAGAAACTGTCCGTTCCCTCGCCATTTCTCGGCTGTAGCGAAAAACACGACCGCTTGTTACTAGACTCTCAGACTGGCTCAGCGGCAAGCCCGATGCCGTTCCGGCCACTAGGAGCGCGTGTTCGCTGCCACGTCACCGCCCAAGCACGTGCTTCCACCAACCAGCAGGGTTCGGATCGGCCGTCGCTACTCCCGTCCTCGCTCCAGCCCAGGTTCGGTGGCCGAACCTGCAGGCTCGGGGTAGCTCCGGCAGCTATCGGTCCACAACCAAGGAGTTCTCTAGGTTTGGGGGAAACTGGTGCGCTGGGGGCGGGGAATGGGGGAGGGGGGAGTTCCGCTGGGGGAGCTGCTTCGGCCTCAAGCGCCACAGCTTTATCTGCTGCCCGTTCCCAGACCCCTGACCGGCCTCAGCCATCCCTGGCCCGCCACGTGGCACGAAGCCTGCCCGTGGCGGTGCTGAGCGAGCTCGTGGCAGCTGCGGCTACAGCAGGAGGTACAGCCGCTACAGCCGCAGCCAATAGCGGGCTGCCAGCTCACGCGGGGCATCTGGCGATTCCTGCTACAGCCGTGACGCCTGTAGCAGTGACGGCGCTAGCAGCCATATACGGAGCTTACCTGTCAGATAACCTGCTGGGACGGCAGAAACAGCCGCCAAAAACAGGTAACAGACCGGGGTGATTCTTACTTGTGTCTGATTACCTTTGCCTCTACCCCCAGTTTCATCCTCCCCACAAATCGTCCTTCCGTTTTCACTTTTCATTTCATCCACTCCACTCCCTCCATTGTTTGTTCGTCCCTTTCTCCTTGCTCCCCTCCCCACGCGTGTCCCGAATCTGTGGCGTTGATCAGAGCCGTTGATCATCGAGTCAGTGGACGTCACAGATTACCCCATCTTCAGGCACCCAGAGGTGCTGCGAGCAGTTGAGTTCGCCAGGGATGCGCACTGGGACCAGTACCGCAAGACAGGCGAGCCGTACGTCAACCACTGCGTGCACACTGCGCGGATACTGGCTGCTCTGGTGCCACCCCAGGGCAAGAAGGTGTGTGCGTGGTTTTGAGCGGTTCTGTGTGGTGCTGTGTGCGAGCTGCCAGGGACGCTCACTGGGACCAGTACCGCAAGACAGGCGAGCCGTATGTCAACCACTGCGTGCACACCGCTCGCATCCTGGCAGCTCTGGTGCCTCCTCAGGGCAAAAAGGTGTGTATGTGGGTGTGGCTCTGTGTGGTCATGTGTGCGGGCTGTTGAGTTCGCCAGGGATGCGCACTGGGACCATTGTGGCTCTGTGTGGGTGGTTCTCTGTGGTTTGTGCTGTGCTGCGAGCTGCCAGGGATGCGCACTGGGACCAGTACCACAAGACAGGCGAGCCATACGTCAACCACTGCCTGCACACCGCTCGTATCCTCGCTGCACTGGTGCCGCCCCAGGGCAAGAAGATGACACACTTTCAGGTTCAAGTGTCCAATTTAAAAAATCTGGAAAAAAAAACAAAAAATCCTTCCCCATCTTTCTCTCCTCACCTCCAGGCGGTGGATGCGGTGGTGGCAGCAGTGCTGCATGCCATTGTGGATGAGTTGTCCCGTAAGATTCTCAAAACTCCATCCGCATCCGCTCCCCTCCCCCATCCCTCTCTCCTCCTCTCCAGGCAGTGGATGCTGTGGCAGCAGCAGTGCTGCATGAAACACTTTCAGGTTGATTGAAGCGTAGTAAAACAAGAGCCAAAAAAAACCTTTCTCATCCCTCTTCTCCTCACCTCCAGGCGGTGGATGCTGTGGTGGCAGCAGTGCTGCATTAGATGCTTTTGGCGGGTTAGGTATTCAAGAAAGCACTCAGAACTCCTCCCCCATCTCTCCCTTCTCCTCCTCTCCAGGCAGTGGATGCGGTGGTGGCAGCAGTGCCGCATGGCATCGTGGGTGACATGCCCATTCTTGCAGGTTTACGTATTCAAGCCAACAATCAAAGCTCCTCCCCTGTTCATCTCTCCTCCTCCCTCTCAACCTCCAGGCAGTGGATGCTGTGGTGGCAGCAGTGCTGCATGACATTGTGGATGACACGCCCTACGACATTGCTGACGTGGAAATGCTCTTCGGTGCTGACGTGGCACAGCTGGTGGATGGCGTGTCTCGCCTCAGCCATATCAACCAGGCATGCTGCAACGCACCTTATCCTTGACTCAGCATCCTAATTGATCTGGCCCCAACTCCTCACTCCTCCCCCCACCGTTGTCCCTCCCTTGCCCTCACTGTCCCCTTTCCCCTTTCCCCAAGTCCCATGCATTCCCACTGACCCTACCTCCATCTTCCACGCTTCTTCCTCCGTGCGACCTCCCCCTACCTTCTGGTACCGGCCCCATCTTCGTTCCACACACTCCCACTCACCATAGCTCCCCTGCGGCTGCTCTTACACAGGACTCTGCCGTCTTCTTTCTTCTCTCTCCCATCATTTCCCCCTCCCACAACCCCTACTTTCGGCGCTGCCCCTGGTGCAGTTGTTGCGCCGGCACCGCAGGGCAACGGCAGAGCAGAGAGCACAGGAGAACACAGGGCTCAGTTCAGCTGATGTGAGTGTTTTCTTCATCTGGTGTAAGTGTTTCTTTTGGCACGTGAAATGTTCTAGTATGGCGTTACTTCTTGCAGTTTGAAGCTCAGTAGTTCTCTAATGATGGATGGCGTGTGGATAGAATCATTGGCGTGTGGATAGAATCATTGGCGTGTGGATAGAATCATTGGCGTGTGGATAGAATCATTGGCGTGTGGATAGAATCATTGGCGTGTGGATAGAATCATTGGCGTGTGGATAGAATCATTGGCGTGTGGATAGAATCATTGGCGTGTGGATAGAATCATTGGCGTGTGGATAGAATCATTGGCGTGTGGATAGAATCATTGGCGTGTGGATAGAATCATTGGCGTGTGGATAGAATCATTGGCGTGTGGATAGAATCATTGGCGTGTGGATAGAATCATTGGCGTGTGGATAGAATCATTGGCGTGTGGATAGAATCATTGGCGTGTGGATAGAATCATTGGCGTGTGGATAGAATCATTGGCGTGTGGATAGAATCATTGGCGTGTGGATAGAATCATTGGCGTGTGGATAGAATCATTGGCGTGTGGATAGAATCATTGGCGTGTGGATAGAATCATTGGCGTGTGGATAGAATCATTGGCGTGTGGATAGAATCATTGGCGTGTGGATAGAATCATTGGCGTGTGGATAGAATCATTGGCGTGTGGATAGAATCATTGGCGTGTGGATAGAATCATTGGCGTGTGGATAGAATCATTGGCGTGTGGATAGAATCATTGGCGTGTGGATAGAATCATTGGCGTGTGGATAGAATCATTGGCGTGTGGATAGAATCATTGGCGTGTGGATAGAATCATTGGCGTGTGGATAGAATCATTGGCGTGTGGATAGAATCATTGGCGTGTGGATAGAATCATTGGCGTGTGGATAGAATCATTGGCGTGTGGATAGAATCATTGGCGTGTGGATAGAATCATTGGCGTGTGGATAGAATCATTGGCGTGTGGATAGAATCATTGGCGTGTGGATAGAATCATTGGCGTGTGGATAGAATCATTGGCGTGTGGATAGAATCATTGGCGTGTGGATAGAATCATTGGCGTGTGGATAGAATCATTGGCGTGTGGATAGAATCATTGGCGTGTGGATAGAATCATTGGCGTGTGGATAGAATCATTGGCGTGTGGATAGAATCATTGGCGTGTGGATAGAATCATTGGCGTGTGGATAGAATCATTGGCGTGTGGATAGAATCATTGGCGTGTGGATAGAATCATTGGCGTGTGGATAGAATCATTGGCGTGTGGATAGAATCATTGGCGTGTGGATAGAATCATTGGCGTGTGGATAGAATCATTGGCGTGTGGATAGAATCATTGGCGTGTGGATAGAATCATTGGCGTGTGGATAGAATCATTGGCGTGTGGATAGAATCATTGGCGTGTGGATAGAATCATTGGCGTGTGGATAGAATCATTGGCGTGTGGATAGAATCATTGGCGTGTGGATAGAATCATTGGCGTGTGGATAGAATCATTGGCGTGTGGATAGAATCATTGGCGTGTGGATAGAATCATTGGCGTGTGGATAGAATCATTGGCGTGTGGATAGAATCATTGGCGTGTGGATAGAATCATTGGCGTGTGGATAGAATCATTGGCGTGTGGATAGAATCATTGGCGTGTGGATAGAATCATTGGCGTGTGGATAGAATCATTGGCGTGTGGATAGAATCATTGGCGTGTGGATAGAATCATTGGCGTGTGGATAGAATCATTGGCGTGTGGATAGAATCATTGGCGTGTGGATAGAATCATTGGCGTGTGGATAGAATCATTGGCGTGTGGATAGAATCATTGGCGTGTGGATAGAATCATTGGCGTGTGGATAGAATCATTGGCGTGTGGATAGAATCATTGGCGTGTGGATAGAATCATTGGCGTGTGGATAGAATCATTGGCGTGTGGATAGAATCATTGGCGTGTGGATAGAATCATTGGCGTGTGGATAGAATCATTGGCGTGTGGATAGAATCATTGGCGTGTGGATAGAATCATTGGCGTGTGGATAGAATCATTGGCGTGTGGATAGAATGATTGGCGTGTGGATAGAATGATTGGCGTGTGGATAGAATCATTGGCGTGTGGATAGAATCATTGGCGTGTGGATAGAATCATTGGCGTGTGGATAGAATCATTGGCGTGTGGATAGAATCATTGGCGTGTGGATAGAATCATTGGCGTGTGGATAGAATCATTGGCGTGTGGATAGAATCATTGGCGTGTGGATAGAATGATTGGCGTGTGGATAGAATCATTGGCGTGTGGATAGAATCATTGGCGTGTGGATAGAATCATTGGCGTGTGGATAGAATCATTGGCGTGTGGATAGAATCATTGGCGTGTGGATAGAATCATTGGCGTGTGGATAGAATGATTGGCGTGTGGATAGAATCATTGGCGTGTGGATAGAATGATTGGCGTGTGGATAGAATCATTGGCGTGTGGATAGAATGATTGGCGGGATATTGGCGTGTGGATAGAATCATTGGCGTGTGGATAGAATCATTGGCGTGTGGATAGAATCATTGGCGTGTGGATAGAATCATTGGCGTGTGGATAGAATCATTGGCGTGTGGATAGAATCATTGGCGTGTGGATAGAATCATTGGCGTGTGGATAGAATCATTGGCGTGTGGATAGAATCATTGGCGTGTGGATAGAATCATTGGCGTGTGGATAGAATCATTGGCGTGTGGATAGAATGATTGGCGTGTGGATAGAATCATTGGCGTGTGGATAGAATCATTGGCGTGTGGATAGAATCATTGGCGTGTGGATAGAATCATTGGCGTGTGGATAGAATGATTGGCGTGTGGATAGAATCATTGGCGTGTGGATAGAATCATTGGCGTGTGGATAGAATCATTGGCGTGTGGATAGAATCATTGGCGTGTGGATAGAATCATTGGCGTGTGGATAGAATCATTGGCGTGTGGATAGAATCATTGGCGTGTGGATAGAATCATTGGCGTGTGGATAGAATCATTGGCGTGTGGATAGAATCATTGGCGTGTGGATAGAATCATTGGCGTGTGGATAGAATGATTGGCGTGTGGATAGAATGATTGGCGTGTGGATAGAATCATTGGCGTGTGGATAGAATCATTGGCGTGTGGATAGAATCATTGGCGTGTGGATAGAATCATTGGCGTGTGGATAGAATCATTGGCGTGTGGATAGAATCATTGGCGTGTGGATAGAATCATTGGCGTGTGGATAGAATCATTGGCGTGTGGATAGAATCATTGGCGTGTGGATAGAATCATTGGCGTGTGGATAGAATCATTGGCGTGTGGATAGAATCATTGGCGTGTGGATAGAATCATTGGCGTGTGGATAGAATCATTGGCGTGTGGATAGAATCATTGGCGTGTGGATAGAATCATTGGCGTGTGGATAGAATCATTGGCGTGTGGATAGAATCATTGGCGTGTGGATAGAATCATTGGCGTGTGGATAGAATCATTGGCGTGTGGATAGAATCATTGGCGTGTGGATAGAATCATTGGCGTGTGGATAGAATCATTGGCGTGTGGATAGAATCATTGGCGTGTGGATAGAATGATTGGCGTGTGGATAGAATCATTGGCGTGTGGATAGAATCATTGGCGTGTGGATAGAATCATTGGCGTGTGGATAGAATCATTGGCGTGTGGATAGAATCATTGGCGTGTGGATAGAATCATTGGCGTGTGGATAGAATCATTGGCGTGTGGATAGAATCATTGGCGTGTGGATAGAATCATTGGCGTGTGGATAGAATCATTGGCGTGTGGATAGAATCATTGGCGTGTGGATAGAATCATTGGCGTGTGGATAGAATCATTGGCGTGTGGATAGAATGATTGGCGTGTGGATAGAATCATTGGCGTGTGGATAGAATCATTGGCGTGTGGATAGAATCATTGGCGTGTGGATAGAATCATTGGCGTGTGGATAGAATCATTGGCGTGTGGATAGAATCATTGGCGTGTGGATAGAATCATTGGCGTGTGGATAGAATCATTGGCGTGTGGATAGAATCATTGGCGTGTGGATAGAATCATTGGCGTGTGGATAGAATCATTGGCGTGTGGATAGAATCATTGGCGTGTGGATAGAATCATTGGCGTGTGGATAGAATCATTGGCGTGTGGATAGAATCATTGGCGTGTGGATAGAATCATTGGCGTGTGGATAGAATCATTGGCGTGTGGATAGAATCATTGGCGTGTGGATAGAATCATTGGCGTGTGGATAGAATCATTGGCGTGTGGATAGAATCATTGGCGTGTGGATAGAATCATTGGCGTGTGGATAGAATGATTGGCGTGTGGATAGAATCATTGGCGTGTGGATAGAATCATTGGCGTGTGGATAGAATCATTGGCGTGTGGATAGAATCATTGGCGTGTGGATAGAATCATTGGCGTGTGGATAGAATCATTGGCGTGTGGATAGAATCATTGGCGTGTGGATAGAATCATTGGCGTGTGGATAGAATCATTGGCGTGTGGATAGAATCATTGGCGTGTGGATAGAATCATTGGCGTGTGGATAGAATCATTGGCGTGTGGATAGAATCATTGGCGTGTGGATAGAATCATTGGCGTGTGGATAGAATCATTGGCGTGTGGATAGAATCATTGGCGTGTGGATAGAATCATTGGCGTGTGGATAGAATGATTGGCGTGTGGATAGAATCATTGGCGTGTGGATAGAATCATTGGCGTGTGGATAGAATCATTGGCGTGTGGATAGAATCATTGGCGTGTGGATAGAATCATTGGCGTGTGGATAGAATCATTGGCGTGTGGATAGAATCATTGGCGTGTGGATAGAATCATTGGCGTGTGGATAGAATCATTGGCGTGTGGATAGAATCATTGGCGTGTGGATAGAATCATTGGCGTGTGGATAGAATCATTGGCGTGTGGATAGAATGATTGGCGTGTGGATAGAATCATTGGCGTGTGGATAGAATCATTGG